GCGTATTCCTCGATGTTTTCTGTTGTGTTTGCTGAGAAACTTTAGATTATTTTCATTCTGCTATCCGGGCTTTCAGCTGAACATGACCTTCATTTTCACTCTTACTCTCTTACTCTCTGTAATATATATCATTCCAATAACTTGTATATAGACTCGTACTGCACTATTCCACATGCTCACTTTATTTTATAACTATTTTTCTTTTTGTATTGCTCTTGCTATCTGTATTGTTATTATGTTGCATTGTTGGAGAAGCCTGTGACATAAGATTTTCAACAACATAATTACTCTGTAGCTATGTTAGTTTGACAATAAAGAACCTTGAACCTTGAACCTTGAACCTTGTGCTGTCAGCAGGGAGAAACATGACTTTTCACTTATTTTCTGGGTCTGCTGTATTTCGTTTTTAAAAAACCTGGGTTTCCTTCTCGTGCAGTTCTCCGTGTTTCCGTATTTAGTGAGAAACACAAGCTTTTGCAATATTCCAGCTGTGCTTGTTGAGAACGACTGCATTTGAACTATGAGATTTAAATTTAAAATATTGCCTTTTCAAACGTATTTTTGCACGCAGTTCGCAGTATCCCTAAAGTGGTACCTCAGTTTGAGAAACAGTGCTCTAAGCATTTCCTCCTCCTCCTCTTCCTCACATATCTTCATCCCTCCTCTCTTTTCCTCCTCTCAGCACCTCTCCGCGCTCTTAACGACGTACGGCGAATCAGCCGCACTAATTAACTCCTAAATCATCTCAGAGCTCTCACAAAGTTTAGGAGTGGATTTCAGCTCTCAGGTGAATCCACATCTAAATGATCAATAACGAGACACTTTTATACCTTGCTGTGAACAAGAAGCTGCATTCAGTCATAAAATGATTTTTAGCTATTACGTAAAGCAACACAGAATAAACTAAATGAGTCTGAAAAGGCAGTTTGAGACACTACATACTGATATACACCTGAACATCAGCAGGAGAGGACTCTTTAAAGTAGAGACACTACATACTGATATACACCTGAACATCAGCAGGAGAGGACTCTTTAAAGTAGAGACACTACATACTGATATACACCTGAACATCAGCAGGAGAGGACTCTTTAAAGTAGAGACTCTAAATACTGATATACACCTGAACATCAGCAGGAGAGGACTCTTTAAAGTAGAGACTCTAAATACTGATATACACCTGAACATCAGCAGGAGAGGACTCTTTAAAGTAGAGACACTACATACTGATATACACCTGAACATCAGCAGGAGAGGACTCTTTAAAGTAGAGACTCTAAATACTGATATACACCTGAACATCAGCAGGAGAGGACTCTTTAAAGTAGAGACTCTAAATACTGATATACACCTGAACATCAGCAGGAGAGGACTCTTTAAAGTAGAGACTCTAAATACTGATATACACCTGAACATCAGCAGGAGAGGACTCTTTAAAGTAGAGACTCTAAATACTGATATACACCTGAACATCAGCAGGAGAGGACTCTTTAAAGTAGAGACACTACATACTGATATACACCTGAACATCAGCAGGAGAGGACTCTTTAAAGTAGAGACACTACATACTGATATACACCTGAACATCAGCAGGAGAGGACTCTTTAAAGTAGAGACTCTAAATACTGATATACACCTGAACATCAGCAGGAGAGGACTCTTTAAAGTAGAGACTCTAAATACTGATATACACCTGAACATCAGCAGGAGAGGACTCTTTAAAGTAGAGACACTACATACTGATATACACCTGAACATCAGCAGGAGAGGACTCTTTAAAGTAGAGACACTACATACTGATATACACCTGAACATCAGCAGGAGAGGACTCTTTAAAGTAGAGACACTACATACTGATATACACCTGAACATCAGCATGGAGAGGACTCTTTAAAGTAGAGACACTACATACTGATATACACCTGAACATCAGCAGGAGAGGACTCTTTAAAGTAGAGACACTACATACTGATATACACCTGAACATCAGCAGGAGAGGACTCTTTAAAGCAGAGACACTACATACTGATATACACCTGAACATCAGCAGGAGAGGACTCTTTAAAGTAGAGACACTACATACTGATATACACCTGAACATCAGCAGGAGAGGACTCTTTAAAGTAGAGACACTACATACTGATATACACCTGAACATCAGCAGGAGAGGACTCTTTAAAGTAGAGACACTACATACTGATATACACCTGAACATCAGCAGGAGAGGACTCTTTAAAGTAGAGACACTACATACTGATATACACCTGAACATCAGCAGGAGAGGACTCTTTAAAGTAGAGACTCTACATACTGATATACACCTGAACATCAGCAGGAGAGGACTCTTTAAATGGTTCTTCCACATAATGCTCACAGGACCCTGAAGGATTATCTATTCTTGGATCTGCACCACGAGTTGATAAATTAAAGTTTGTCCTGAGGGTGGCATTAAGATCTAGGATCATTAAATTACGAATGGATCTTCGTATATTCAGCAGCAGTGATCTTGGTATATTTTGCAAAGTCTTCTCATTGCATTTTGGTATGTATTTCGTCTTTATGCATATAACTGTCTTTCTACTAATGGAAGAGTTTGGACGGTAGTCGCCTGTAAAATGTACAAAGTACAGACTTGAAGTCACAACAAAAAGGTTTCGTCTTTTGAGGATTATGAATATTTTTATTAACATTAAAGTGTTTCATGAAATGTCAGAAAGTTGCTTCGGGGTTTCTTCAAACAGAACGTAGGAGATCTGAGGTTTGTTTGTGTTCCTGCTGTTTGTTTGCAGTTAAAGGTGACTTTGAGGAAGCTTTGTTTGAGTAAAAACAGAGCATTTACTAGAAAGATCTTCACCAACATCCTACGGCCGATGACTGACATGTTGGGAAGTTATTTATTTCTGGAGTATTTGTTCTTCGTTGTGTTTGAACTGTTCCTCAGTTTGAAGCCGCAGACAGGAAGTGAAGGTTATTCCTCTTCCGCCTTTATCTCGACTTTAGACTGTTTTCGTTTCACCTCTGAAGGTCGGCTGTGTTTAGTCTTCTTGTTTTCCTCGCTGTGTGCTTTTTAAATGATACACACTTTATCCAAACACACGGCCGGTAAACAGGGTTTGTTTTGTCCATCGAGGTTGTTCTTTATCAGTTTATTGAAGCAGATACAACAATAATCGAGACAGGATGTTTGTATTACTTTTTCACAGCCTCGAACCATTTCCAGTTAAGTTGTTCCTTTAGAATAATGGGTAGCGCTTTTATAAAATTGAACGGTGCAAAGCAAGTCAGCTGAACATACAAACATTTGAAATATGCAATAATGTGCCTCCTTTTCACAAAATGCTGTTTTCAAATAAATAGACTAGTTGCTTTTCTCTGATTTAAGATTATTTAAACACATCAGCTTGGACTCTGAGAAACTGGGATGGACATATCTCACCATTTTCTATCCATAAATAGAGGTAATAACCTTCAGATGAATCCATAACATAAGTAAAAGTAGTGTAAATATCTAAAACGTTGTTGCCAGTTACTGTTACACAACTGTATTTGAATGAAGAAGAAAATCTGTCTGAAAGCATGTTGTAGTAAAACTGCAGCTAATGTTAGCTTCCTTGCTAATGTCTTTTTTTGTTTATTTATTTATTATTTAATGTTTTGTTCAATGCCACCTTGCTGTTTATCCTTGGCTTATAAACATCATACTTGGGGCATGGATAATATTCATTACAACAACAAATATCTCAAATTATTCACGTTGTTATTCTAGAGGCTAAATAAGCATCTTTGTAAATGTAAAAAAATGGAAATTTCATTATATCTGACATTTTAAACCAGACACCAGTTTATATTATTCCACATACACCATTATAGTTGCAGCACATATTCTCAGGCTGAAGTGTGCCATTATTTATCCGAAAAAGCCGACATAAAAGTGATATGTTTTCGTTGTTTCTGCTCCTCAGTGCTGTACACTCTTTGTTGTGGGTGTTTCCTTCAGGCTCGTGTCTCATTAAAGAAGGATTAATGAATCACTTTGGAAAACAAAAGCTCTAATCAGGCTCAACACAGGAGGGGGTTGTGTGGGGGGGTTTTACAAAGCAGCTTGTTCGGGCGTTCCACAGTTTCCGTGTCTGAATGTTACAAATGTGACGCTTATTGACTCCCTCTTTAAGCTCAGTTCTGCCTCATTAGACTCCAACAATTCAGGAGCATTTGAAGTCCTTTTGAACAGTGACATCCACTACAGCCTGCAGCCTAACTGAGATGTAAACAGTGTACAAACGGCAGCTTTGCAAATAGCATTCATTTAGTAGAATTGGACATTTTACACCACCAGTGATTCGGTGGCATCTCTATCAGGTGGACAGTCAACTAACATGTGTTGCAGAGACGGAATAAAGTGTTCAAAAGCGTTACATAGGAACTGATATTAAACTAAAAACAGAAGTCCAAAAAACAATATGTCAAGTTACAGAAGTCAGATTGTATAGAAGTCTATAAGAAAATTACAATTGCTCAGTCTTGGTTAAATCAAAACTAGCTCAAAGGTGTTGAGTTTGAATTAAATACACCTTTCTAATATGTGTAGAGTGCATTGAATTCCTCTGGTTGCAAGAAGAAGTCAGATTGAATAGAAGTCTATGAACAAATGACCCTACTTCTCTCTTGATTGATTACCTCAGTGAACATTTTCGTAATGAGTTCATAGTGTTCCGTGCATCTTACGTTATCTTACACTTTTTCCAGAGAACATGTAGTAACTTTCTATTCCCTGAAAACAACCTGAAACCCAGGGATACTCCACTGTAGTAGAAATATGAACTAACTCTACTTCTTGCCAAAGGAAGTCAGATTGTATAGAAGTCTACGAGGAAATGAAGCTACCTTTCATTTACAAAAGAGACAAGTGTTAATAAAATCCAGACATTTTAAATCAAATGTCGGGTTGCAAGTGATTTCAATCTGACAGTTTTCTGACTCCATCGTTCTCTCTCTTCCAGATAAAAGGATGCTGCCGGGCCCTGACGACGGACTGAGTCCCACCTGAACCCTCCCTCTCCTCTCCCCCCACCTTCCCTCAGACCCCCCCCGCCCTCCCCTCCCATCATGCACCTGCTGTGCCGTGGCCGGCTGAAGCTGCTCGTGGCCTCGCTCACGGCCGGCGTGCTGCTCACCTGGCTCTACCTGCTGGCTGGGAACCTGGAGAGTGAGTACCTCCAGATTATAAATAATACCTCCATCTTGTTCTTTAAGATATTTATGATGTGATAGTTGAATGGTTTCTGTTGCTGGAAGTGTGCTGAAGCATGCATCTAACAAAAGGTACAGAAGAAGTGAAAACTGGCTGTATTGTTGCTTTCTGGAGCTTTTACTTTGAAAAAACAATCCTAAACCTGAGCCTGTAACGAAGCAGTGACTTTTTGGTGGCTTTTATTTAAAAAAATGTTCTCTTTCGTAGATTCCTGAGAGGATACAGTACCTCTATGGGGCTTTTATTTTGAAAACTGTTCTCGTTCGTAGATTCGTGAGAGGATACAGTACCTCTATGGGGCTTTTATTTTGAAAAACAGGCCTGATACTGAGTTCCCTGAAAGGATATGATAACTCTGTGACTTTTAATTTTATTAAATGATCAATGATGACACAGTTTCCCTCTGGGGCTTTTCATTTTGAAATATAAGCCTAAACCTGAGATTCATGTAATGATACAGTCACTTTTTGGGGCTTTCATTTTGAAATAAGCATCGTCCTGAACTTCCTGTAAGGATATAGTTACTCTTTAAAGCTTTTATTTTGAAATAAATACTTGATATTGAGCTTCCTGTAAGGATACAGTAACTCTATGGGGCTTTTATTCTGAAAAACATGTCGCTCTCTAAGCAATCTGTAACTATCAATTTACTTTCTGGAGCTTTTATTTTGAAAAACATGCTTTCCAGTAAAGATACAGTTGGCCCATGGGGGTTTTATTTTGAAAAACAAATAAGGGCTGTTCCCGAGCTTCTTTTATTGCTACATAAACTCCATGGGGGTATTATTTTGAAAAACCAAGTCTCGTTCTTAGCTTCCTGTCAGGATACATTTTCTCTTTAGGGCTTTTTGATTATGAATATAAATGTATTCTTCCAGGTATTTCTTCAGTACATTATGAGAGGCTTTGCTTTTTCATGGAGATTAAAAACACATTCAGGTTTACGATGGAGTCAAAGAAATCTAAGCAGCAGGAACAGAGAGCCTCAATTATGAGACATTTCCTGCAATTTAGCTTAAATTAAAGCTTCGGATCGGACCATTAAGTTCAATTTTGAAACACCAAGCTCATTTTCTGTTCAGTTTGATTTTGGTTACAGCAGCGGAATAAAAGCTATTTCCTGGAAGTGCTTTTATTTGCATGTAACACTAGTTTCTTATCTTGTGTCATATGAAACTAGAATCAAATATATTACAACGTACATTAAAGTCATATCTAAAAACAAGCTAGACTTCCAGGCAGCGTGAAATGATCCCTGATCTCTGTGAAGTTGAGAATCCTCTGAACAGATTTGTGATAATTCCTTCTCAGTTTTGCGGTGAATATATTCACAAACAGGAGGCTGGATTTGAAAAAAAAAACTCCTCTCTTTCTCTCTTAGTCTGATGAATGACAAAGGTTTCTGTCAGTACTGCTGGCATGTCATTTAACATTTAAGCATTTCTTTCTGCTTTCAAGGTTTCAAAATAATACAAAGTTGTTATGAGTGGGGCGCACAAGTAAATGGTAGGACCCAAAGGCACGACTCCAGACAAAAAGGACGGTTCAAAAAAGGAATTGACTTTAGGTGATTTGCAAGGCAATACAAACACTCATAGTAAACAAGGACTCCAAAAAATGACTTACTAAATACTAACTTAAACTCACTCTAGCACAGATATCAACTGGCTGACAAATCACAAAAAACGTAAAGCTCGGTTCGAAACGATCTGGCACTGGGCACAGAGAAAACACAGATGAAATACACACACAAGGGGCTCTACAGGTGCAAACAATAAGGGCGGTAATCAGGTCAGAGAAAACACACATGGGTAGGAGTCGAACCAAGCCCCCAGGAAGTGCGCCGGACTCTGAGGAAAATATTCGTTGTGTCCAAACGGCGGTACTGCAACTTCCGTATCAGTCCGTGGCGTCCCTGGGCCCGGAAAGACTTTTTCCCATTGACTAACATTGGGAAAGAGACGTCTGTAAATCAGCGGATACTTTTTTTTAAACTAAATAAACTACCCAGTATGAACATTTGTATAGCCCTTATTAAAAACATTCGGTCCTCAAGTTGTAAAATGTGCTAATAACGTTATTCTGAGAGTTATTTTCCTCGGCATTATGAACGTGCATCTGAGAGTGGGAGCTCGGGGGGCGGGGCTTAAGGGGCAAGTCAACTGGCCATGCTCTGTGAGCGCACATACGGGTTCTTCTGCTCTGACAGCCAGGCATGATGGGTAATCTGTGACGTTTCGCTCTCTCAAAAGTTGGGCCATTTTGTCTTCATGCGCCAATGAGCAGCTCTCATAGGAAAGAACGAGACCCCGCCTCCCACGCTGTATCCAGTTCTTATTATACATCCATGAGTCGAGCTACCTGAAATGAGAGAGGAGATTACCAAAGTAAAACAGGAAATGACAGACAACAAAAGGGTTAGCAGACGCAGACTTGACAATATCTAACTTAAAGGGGACCTATCATGCAAAATGCACTTGTGTACGTCTTTTATACATGAATATGTGTCCCCGGTGTTCCAGGGAACTCACCAAGTGTCAGGAAACACAACCCTCTCTATTTTCCTCCATACCCAAATCTCTAAAAAAGGGGCTGCAACGGATTTGATAAAAACTGATCCAGATTTGAACACTGTCCTGACGTCAGGACGGTGGCGCTACGGCTATTGGGCCAACTCCACCAATCAGGAGGAGACAGCCACGGCCATTGCCGTTCGAAAGCGCTGGAGACGCTGTAGTACATATGCCAGGCCTGTAGGTGGTGCTGTTCTCACTGAATCAGCCCTTGCACAAACAGAGCTAACATTTTTCAAATTGAGCGAAATGAGGCATGGCTAAAATGCATGATCTGTTTGGTATTTTGAAAAAAAAAAAGTATAAATATGCCTTATATAGGTATGGTCCTACACTATATTATTATAATATAGCATGATAGGTCCACTTTAACCGAGAAATAATACTAATACAAATAAACAAGGATACAAAAACTAACAAATCTGAAGAGACAAACCAAAGTTGACTTCAGAAACAGATGTTTTGCAGAACATTCTCAGTTCGAGCCACAATGTTTCTCAGCAGATAAAGTTGTAAATATTTAAAATGTCAATGTTTTCTGAGCACTAAAGATATTTTCGTACTTGTGTTTCAGTCCGTCTGCAGATCAGATTCTGGTCACTCGATCCTTCTTCTCACATTAGTTTTTGGCGTGACACTAGTAAAGTTTTATCCAAAGCCTTTTATGGGGTAATTCAAAATTGATTTCTACATTATGAAAACTGTACGCCATGCACAGCGTTGCTAAGTACGTGCATGTGCAATTCTGTCCTTGCATATTTATATGCGGCACCACTTTCTATATCTACTTCTCTATGATTATATGGCAGCTACTTTGCAGATTAAACATTTACAAACCTGGAATGAGAGGATGTAAAATGCATTACAGCAAATGAAACCACAGTATGGAGAATATCCAGAAATAGCTCCATCTCTGCCAGCTTTAACAATTAAGAACTATTGTTTGATCGTGCATTTGTTTTTACTTTGACTAGTTCATTTAGCAGATGATGCTGTCATTTATTCAGCTAACTGTCCCTGGAATGGCATTGTTACTTTTCCATCAGCCCACGATAGAAAGTATGTATAAATATGGAATCTGAAAGTGCAGTCAGCTTCTTTCCTCGCTGGTCGCTGGCGTTTCTTTCCGCCTTCAGATTGAATTGTGAACATTCCCAGCATGCCTCACTTCAGTTGTGGACCAGCTGCTGCTCCCATCATCTTAGAAAGAGAGGAGGAGGAAGAGAGGAGGAGGAAGAGAGGAGGAAGTGAAAAATGCTAAACAAGAGACAGAGAGAAAGGGAAGGGAGGAGAGGAGGGAAGAATTGAACATTTGTCGAGAGAGAAATTGTGGAAAGAGGAAAGAGAGCAGAAGAATAAGAAGTAATGAGAGCAGATGAAGAATGCTCACTGCAGTTTGGATCAGAAATCTGCAAGAAACAGGGTATTTGTTGGTTTATTAGTATGTGTTGCTCTGGTGCAGTCAGACGTTTTTCAATAGAGTAACATATTTGTCTTGTGCAAAACATATCAGCTTGTATAAAAAAAAAACTCAAATAAACACACACCTCTGCAGAAAACGTAAATAATGGATTTAAAATGGTATCAGTAAATTCATAGCAACCAGTTTGTGTAATCATGCATGAACTCTTAGACAGTGATGTAGTGTCAACTGTGAACCCCTCACACACCACTGCACGCTGTACTCTTGAGTCAACTGGACATCACTATCAATGTGCAGATCTCTGCACTGGTACAAACTCATCTATACCGCTATGCTTGGACTGCTGCCTCTCGACATATCCACTCACATCTCACACACACAGTACAGACTACGATCTCAACATGACTTCACTCTGTCCGTCCCCTCAGTACGCACGGTGCTTGGGAAAAAAGCCATATCATACTCTGCCCCCTCGACCTGGAACACACTTCAGCAGGAACTCAAGCTGACCACTTTGATACCCATCACGGATTTTAAACTCATTTAAAAAAAGCTGGAGAAATCGTCTGTGGGTGTTTGCACCTGTCTGATGTTTTTTATTACGGTGTTGTATTTGATTGTTGCCTCTGTGTTTAGTGTCCTGTCTGTCTGTAACTTTGTGTGGTGGTGTTACCACTGAACAGGTCTCTCTTGAGAATGAGACCTTGAGATTCACCTGTATAAATAAAGGCTAAATAATAAAAAGTATATATGTTTCACTTCAACAAATTACTGAGAAAATGCACATGTTTCACTTTTTCTTTGTGTTCCCAGCTGTATTGCTGTAAACTGTAAACTTCTTTGTCACAGTACGCTTTACTGCTTTTATTAAATACAGTTAATTATTGCACTGAAAAGAGGACGATTAAATAATAAATGTAGTTTATATAATTTGTATTTCATTTTTTTTTAATAAACCTTTAAAAATATATTCATTTGGCGAATTATGCATAACTGATATTTTTTTAATTAGCATTTAAATATATCTCCCGTACTGCATGTGTGTGTGTGTGTGTGTGTGCGTGTGTGTGTGTGTGTGTGTGTGTGTGTGTGTGTGTGTGTGTGTGTGTGTGTGTGTGTGTGTGCGTGTGTGTGTGTGTGTGTGTGTGTGTGTGTGTGTGTGTGTGTGTGTGTGTGTGTGTGAGCAGTTAAGCTGCTTGCAAATTGAAATATTCACAAGAAAACATGTTTGTTTTTCCGTCCTGATGTTCCTGCACAGAGAGTGTGTGGTTAAAATAAAAAGAAGAAGAACCAGCGTGTTTCACAGGAAGCTGAACACCGTGTTCTTTTGGGGCACTTGGGTTTTTTTGGGACACTTGGTTTTCTGTAGAAACTACATGTGGGCCAAACATTAGCAAATCACCTTTTCAGTTAAATATAAACTTGTTATCAAACGGCTGATTATTTGCACATCCAGCAGTTGCAGATCAACCTGATGACCATTAGGAGACTTCATGTTCTCATATGATGAGTTCAAGTCCAGTATTCTTTTGTTCTCGACCTCCAAAAAAAGTGTTGCTGCAGCCGCTAAATGCCACAAAATGACCGCATTAATTAAACTTGTGAGTAAACTGATGATTATTTCCAACTCTAGCAGTTAAAAAGCATCATGATGATTATTAGGAGACTTAATATTTTCATGTGATGAGTTCAAGTCCAGTATTCCCTCTCTTTTTGCTCTGTTCTGGTCTCTACCTCCAAAAATACTGTCACTTTATCCGCTAAATGCTGCAAAATGACCGCATAAATTAAACTTGTTTGCAAACTTCTTATTATTTCTAAATGTAGCAGTTCCAAAGCATCATCATGATTCAATAAGAGACTTTATGTCCATATGATGAATTCAAGTCCAGTATTCTCTCTCTCTTTTTGCTCTTTTTTGGTCTCCACCACCCAATTTATTTTTCTTTAGCTGCTAAACTATCCACTTTGTTCCCCAGTCTCTAACTCGGTCTATTTGCTGCTGTAAGTCACGT